TTTTTTTTTTTTTTTTTAATAAATGTATACTAGTTATGCTTCTTTTTGGAGATTGAAATACTCACATCCTTTAGCATTCTACAGCAGAAAGAAAGGTTAAAGTCTTTGCCCAAAGCATATAGTGTGACAGAGACCTGAGAAGTGTTTAGAATGCACACTGAGCAAAGAATAAAATACAAATACTATTCAATACAAATACTGTTTGACTTACCATATTTACAGCGGTACTGGCATACACCATCCCGACCTCCCATCAGCTCCAGTATGGAGTCAAAATAGCCATTCACTGCCTGGAAACCCCCTCTGATAGAACCGAAACCCCAGTCCAACTCTTCCTCAGATTCTTGAGTGGAGCTCTGGGTCTCTGCAGGTTTTCCCTCGACAGGGGCATCTGCCATCAAGATGTTTTCTGCCTGGTTCTCCCCATTAGCAGGAACATCTGGGGTTTCACCAGCCTGCGCTTCAGCTAAAACAGAGCCGTCAGCTGGAGAATCCACCGCAGCTGCATCAACAGAAGCCTGGATAAGGGTGGCAGCCAAGCCTGTGGAGATACATAGCAGGAGCAGCGCCAACACACGTGGAAACATGATGTGGCCCCGGGTCCTATGAGGTCTGTAGGGTCCAAGAAGAAGGGGAGACCGATAAAGCCAAAGGGCTTAGAAGGAAAAGAGTGAGCAGCACAAACAGACTCTGTTGATAGTGCCTCGTGGAAGGGACTTTGATCTGTGATTAGATCAAGCAGACAGCAAGGCATTGATTGGTGCTAAGGTTAAAGGTAAGGTCCAATCTCTTGCTGAGACTTGCTCTCTCAGTGAATCACAGTCACACTCACCCTTTGTAATCAACTTTTTTGCTTTGATTATCTGCAGTTCACACTTTGCCTGGAAAAGAGTCTCCTCTCTCACACAATAATTTTATCTAGAGTTATTGTATTTCAACTGTTTTTGCCATTGACAGACTGTTGGTATTTCAAAGGCCTATGTCGTGCTCAGCTGTTTGGTTATACGAAATTTGTATGAGCCATAGTGATTGCATGTATGATGTAATACTGGATTGCAAGGCTATGATAAGATTTATGGGTCAATAACATGGCGTTTATTTTCTTTGCCCTGTGTACTAATATAATAGTATTAATATATTTTATAATGAAATACAGTGCAGAGACCTGAATCGCTTTTGTGGTGAACATGTTTTTAATTTCTAAATTAAAATTCATTTTGATATTTTTGGGAAGCATAAAGTCAGAAATATCAGTTAGCTTAGTCACAAATGACATACAGTAGCACACTAAGTCACACAGAGTTTAATGGATTCTCTTCGAAAATATGAGGTTGTAAGGATTTGATGATTTAGATTTAGAACACCAGGTTTGTAAATTATTAATATTTGACTGACAATTATTAATATTACATCTCTTCAGTAAGCACTCATGCTGTATAGTTGTTAAAGAGGTGTGCCTGCTGCCGATGTGCAGTTGTTCACACACTTTCTTAACAAATGGACTGCAATGTCACTTATTTCAAACGTGCTCCGTGTAGGAACATGTTTTGGCTGATACAGACGGGGCAGATGGGGACGTCTTGTTTAGGTATCAGCTTTCACATCTACCATTAGTGTTTTTTTGGGCCGTGCTGGTACAGTATGATCGAAGTGATGATGAATTAAACTTTTAATCAAACAAACGTATTATTATTATTATTATTGCTGTTGTTTTCCCATGACGTGCTACTTTTTAATGTTTAAAGACAGCGAAGATTGTTCGTGATCTGTAGCGCCCCTGTCTGTACGCAGAGTATAGCCTGATGCCCTGACATCAAACAACATTTCGATATGAATTCTGCAACGCCATTTCTAAATCATCTATGTCTGTAATCATGCGTGTCATGGATATCAATTAATACAATTAATATTTCACCCCAAAAATATATTTTTTATTTAATAATACTGCACTGATTAACACCTGCAAGTAGCCTAGCGTGAAAAAGATGTAAATGAATGAACTGTAACGCGTACCTTTTAAAACGTTTTAATCAAAAGAAGCATTCCATTTGCATCATTGGTCCTGTACTGAATTCATAAACTAATATCTATCTATACAGAACAAAAGAAAATTGAAATCCGAGTCCTAGTAGCTTACTTTTCATCACGTGCCACTAGAGGGCAGCAGAAGGCTGTTACAGTTTATTTCAAAATATTCAAAAAATATATGAACCATTCCTCGAATTTTGTAATATTTCAACCTGGAATTTTCTAAATACCAATCATTAGACATCATTATGGCATTATACATTTAAATTTTCAATATTGTTTCACTCTCATATTGTGCACTTCTTTCTGGGTCAACATACCTGCATCCCCAACACTCTTTCTGCTGCTGATGTGGGTGCCATTTCTGACATAGGATGCATGTCAGAGTTTAAGTGGACCCATTACATCAAATATTCTATTTATAACAACATTTTGAGTTGCCATGATTTTGGTAAGCATATATTTACTGAAACCATGACTATTATATATATATATTATTGTAAACAATCTCCTGAATCTGTCTGGAAACATTTTCCAAGCCATGAGAGAGGCCTCCAACAGCTCCTCGATTTGCGATTTGAGAAAAATACAGACCAATCAGATGAAAGGAGCGTTTCAGCACCGCCCACACGTGCGAATGAAATATTGAAGCTATAAACCGATTTTTAACCCCCAAACGAAAAATGAGAAATCGAGCCAAAATCTCATTTTCCGTTTGTTAAACTAAACGGAAAAACGAATAAACGAGCCGTTTTTCCATTTCTCGTTATTGCATTCCAAATAGGAGAAATGATCAAAACGTACACGGACCATATATATATATATATATATATAGGCTATATACATGCACACACACCTGCACATAGTTATTTTTATATAAAAACAAAGAAGCAAATTACAAACCGTAAGACAAATACAATAGATACAATATTAAATACACTCGTTTTTCTAATACAGTAGGTTTAACATGTATACACGTATTTAACATCTTTTGTTTTTTTGATTAACTTGCAGTAAGTGAAGGCGGGACAGGTTGAATCACGCTGAATGACAGACACACAGAACCGCTCTCTCAGCCGCGCGCCCGCGCGATCCCAGTTCTGCGATCAGTTCTCCTTGCGCCTTAATTGTCAAATACACACACTGTTGTCTAAATGTCCATCGTGTGGAGTATGTCACGTAAATACAGTCGGTTATGGCTTAAGTAAACGTAAACAGGTGGGTGAAAACCGAATATGTGTCAGAATATTACATTCATTCGGTCTTAAAGGGGCAGCAGCCTAAATAAATACCTGTCTGTCTCATTAATGTTAATCGATAACGAATTGTGATCATTGGATGGTAATTTTGTTCTACGACAACCTTAGTTACCTTTGATTAGTCTGTTCTCGCGTGACAGAACACTACTACTACTTGCTCTGGTCACCCAGTCGTAAAGAAATGTTGAAATACGGGACAAAACATGATTTTTTCAAAATAAGTCGGGACACTAAAAATAGACCTGAAATACGGGACTGTCCCGCGAAAAACGGGACGTCTGGTCACCCTAGTTACAAACATAACTTTGATTTTAATAAAAGCCTATTAAGATGAAATGTCTCACTTTACCTGCACTCATTCTAGATATATGTTCAAAATTAAGATGAGCTATTTGGACACTTGTGGGAAAATTATACTAGTTATTATATTATATTAGTTAATATAATTGCACGTAGTGCTGTTTCTATTTCAATATCCATGGTAAATTGATTACTGTAAATCTTTCCATTTAAGGAAGTAAATAAATAAATACATACATACATAAAAATTCACAAAATAAATATTACACCATTTGTATTTGTCAGAAATATTTAATAAAAGTAATTACTGCTCATACATTTAGAGATGAGACATTTATCTCGGGCAACAGTATGCAGTTTCTCTAAATGACCATTCGCTTTATTCCATAATGTACAATTTGTTCTGTACAAAACAAAAACGCTAAACTTTGTATAAAAAATATGTTAATTTAAAATGTAACTCTAATTAACAAAATAACAATGGTAATAATCAATAATTGTGGCAATAATATAATAGGCAATAATATAATATTAATAACAATAATAATAGTCTCTAAACATAGTGCATATGAGGGGAAAGACAGCTGGTTGTGGATGATCTTGGGTGACTGAGGTGAGCGGTGCTGAATAGATCCTCTCAACTCTGACTCCGTAGTAGATGGGGTTGGTAGCATTACTCCAGAGCGAACACACACACACACACACACACTCGCATGCGCACAGGACCAGAAAGTGCATGACTGCCTAAGATAGCACCATTAGAATGTAGCTTACATCTCCAAGCTCAATCTCTCTACACACAGTGCGCATGTCGCATGCCAAAAACCATTGGAAGCCATGTTTAACATTCCCATACACATATACACCGTTGGTACACTTAAAAACTAACAGGCATCTTGAAGCAGTCTGTGACAGTATTGATTACATTCACTCATCAGTCCTGCAGTATTTACAGAAGGCCATCAGTCAGTCAGAGCTCCATAACTGTCTGCAGGGACTGCAGGTGCATCTTACAGATACAAAGAAAAAAAACTGATTTGAAACAAATGCATTATATTGATGGCAAACATTGTCAGATGCATTTTCAATTGCCCCTTCACTAAGCTTACTGTTCTTTGCTCACACAAACTTGTACAGACTGTTCCATAGAAACTGGAGCAGAATGTGTTCAGAAAGCGGTGAAGAAATGTGACATTACAAAGCATTATTCATCTGCTGATTTTGTGTAAAGAAATGTTTGAATTACACAGAAACAATAATCTTTGAAGACTGTGAATCATGTTGATTTGGGAGTTACAAAATGTAATCCACAGTATGAACTTCTCAAGGTTTATTTAGATTTGGAAAAGGGAAAGTAATGTGTTTATCATTCTGTTCTCATTATTAGATAGTTTTAAGTGTTGTGGAACACAGTCCACAGAGATAAAGGGAGAGGTCACCCAGAAATGAAAATTCAGTCATTATGTACTCTTTTAAGTAAACCAATGGGCAAAGTCAAAAATGTACTAAAATAATAATTTTAATTTCAGTTCGTTTTTCAGCAAACCATATCATATGCCCTCAGAACACTTGGAAAATGCAGCACGAGTCGCATGGGATCATTCTGTGATCTTTTTCTTTAAAGGGGTCATATGATGCGATTTCAATTTTTCCTTTCTCTTTGGAGTGTTACAAGCTCTTGGTGCATAAAGAAGATCTGTAAAGTTGCAAAGACTAAAGTCTCAAATCCAAAGAGATATTCTTTATAAAGGTTAAGACTCTGTCACACCTACCTAAAACGGCTCGTTCTAACACACCCCCACATACCTACGTCACGATCTCGGAAGATTTGCATAACGCCGCCCAAACGTTCACGCAAAGAAAGAAGGCGTAACCGCCTCTTCTCACTCAGCCCGCCGCCTCTTCTCACTCAGCCCGCCGCCTCTGCTCAC